GACAATTTTTAATATAACTCCGACTGGATTCGTCTGAAAGAAGAAAGTCATATATACCTAGGGTGCTTCGGGGGTGAGTAAAACACAACATAATTTTCATTTTGCGGTGAACTAACCCTTTAAGTGTGTTCAATACAAATAATTTTTGTATTGAATTTTGTAAACAAAAAATTGCTTAAAACTACAAAAGCAGTTCAATCGAGAGCAGCGAGTGGTTCCCTCTTTTCTTTTATCGTTGATTAACATTAATGCGACAGACGGCCTATATATTAAGACATAGTGTAATGCACGGATCTAATATAATGTTACACATCCGATGTTTTTCCCCAAACGTTCACTTAAAGGTGGGGTAAGCGATTTCTGGTAGCCAATGTTGACATTTGAAATCACCAAAACAAACACACCCCTACCCCAAAAGGGTCTCGCCCCTATTTTGATAGCTCCGCCCCACACATACGTACACAACCCAGGCGACGATTAGTTCTGTTAAAGGGGTCATATAATGCGATTTCAATTTTTCCTTTCTCTTTGGAGTGTTACAAGCTCTTGGTGCATAAAGATGATCTGTAAAGTTGCAAAGACTAAAGTCTCAAATCCAAAGAGATATTCTTTATAAAAGTTAAGAGTCAGCCACGCCTACCTAAAACGGCTCGTTCTAACACGCCCCCACGCTTTTTCAGACCGATGAGTTTTGTAAAAATCGACGCGTTTCAGAAAGGCGGGGCATAGAGGAGAAACAATAATGTACAGTATGTGGAAAATAATGTGTTTTTTTAACCTTAAACCGCATAAACACATTTCATTACACCAAATACACAAAATACTGTTCTTTTTAGCAGCATCATATGACCCCTTTAAACAAAGCAAAACCAATGTTGCACCATGTCTACACTGGATGCGAGCGGCGCGGCGCTACAAAATACTATAGAACTCATTATAATCAGTGATGCTGTCTACACCATAGATATATATACATATCTATGGTCTACACTGGATGCGGCGCGACACGACAAATCCCCGACAGAAAACTGCTGCTGCATTCTATTCATGACGTATTGACACAAATTTCAAATGATTTTCAACGGTCGCTTTGTCGCGTCCAGTGTACTAGACAGACTTTAGCTGTTGCGGCGCAGACACGGTGTTACTCACCTATCGAGAAGAAACAAAGCAACCTCGGCGTCCGATCGCAGGCCTTCTGCTCCTTGAGTTCTCTCCAGCGCTGGAAAGCTGATCCGATATTTACACGGGTCCTACTTCTTGCCTTATTGCCTTAAGCCTTCGTTTGTTCCGCAGCCGTTTTCCTATTTTGTTTTTTATCTGCCATCTCTATCTTTCTGTCGCTCGGCTCGGCTAATGTCCATCCTGTGCACTGAACTCTCCTCCACATCATGAGTCGACACGCCCCTTACTGCTGATTGGCTACAAGTTTGTTTTGCTATTCGGCCCGAATCAGTTTTCCAAAGCGTTTTAGAAAAATCGCTTACCCCCCCTTTGAGATATAACAGATTATGTTTGCATGAATATACTTAGCCTAATATAAATCTGTGTATATGTGTATCGGGACAGAGCGCTGACGGAAGCGTCTTTATGCAGCTGCTTCTAATGTCAGTCAGCGGTTTAGCGCGAGAAGCAAACGGAGAAAAGGTACTCCTCTCAGAAAAATGTACAAATAAAGATACTTTTAGATGTTTAATTATTATTTGGTCATCATTCGGATCACTAGACGAGGGCTTAATGAACTGATTTTTGTGAAAACCTCAAATTCAACCAAAATCGACATTTTTAACTTTTTTTGCCTGTAGCTCAAAATTAGCCCGTGCGCATTCGGACTCATTTTTCCAGCACGGGTCACAATTAATGTAGATATGACCCCTTTTCACTGTATTGCACATCAACACTCTGGTATCAAGCCATAATGCTATTTAAATATTTAAAAAAAAAAAGTTTTGTTTTTTTTGTCTGCGGAGTGCTGTTTGCTTTTAGACAATCTGAACAAAACTGGTTTAAAATGGAAACCATTATTTTCAATGTTGATCAACATGGAAATGCATTTTAAATCAAAAGAATGGTGTATGTGATCCGTGTATGCATACTTGCCTAATTATGTTTACTAATTTTACATTGATGCATTTGGCAGAGTCTTTCATCTAAAGCAACTCACACTTCCTTCAATTCTATCAGTTTATGCATTCCCTGCAAATCAAACCTATTACCCTAGTGTTGATATCACCAATACTCTACTCTCTTTGAACTATGATAACTGGAACAAATGAACTGGCTAAAAAACAAAATCACTCGAGACATGTTGAAAGCATGTTTGCAAGCATGTCCTGATCCAAATACTGAGGTTGAGCCGTATTGTTTTTAGGATGCCGAGTGAGTGGAGAAGTTCTGATCCTACAAAGAAGATGCATCCATGATTTAATGCAAAAATATGCTGCCAAATTCCAGCCTTTCCAGCTCTACAAACAAATAATAGTAGGCAATATGCAACCAATATATTTATTCATGTTAATTTATGCTAACCAGGGGTGTAAAGATCTCACATAATTTTGAGAAAATGCTGTAGAGTGTCACATCAGTCTAGAACAACCTTCAAGTTTGGAAAAGTGTGTGTATTGAAAATTGTTGTATTACTTGGCTCTGAAAGAAACTGGCCATATGTCATTGTACGGAGAAATAGTTGCAGCTTAGCAAAGTGACACTATTTTATCATCACCCAAACGGATATGACAGATGGAAAGAAAATAGGAGAACAGGAAAGCGTGATCACAACACTGCTTATTGGCAGCCATTATGCAGGTAAAGACCTCTTTGCCAGCCTGTGGGCTCGAGTCTGTCTGTGTGTGTGTGTGTGTGTGTGTGTGTGTGTGTGATTCAGTCTGTAAAAACACTGACCTGAACAACTCATGTATGGCTGGCTCCAGGGGAACTGTGAAGAAGCACAGAGAGAGACAGAAGACAGAGGACGTGAGAGGTCAGTTGAAAGGGCAGAAGAAGATTAGATTATCACTCAAACAAAAGGCCGGTCTGACCATATCGCCACATTACATCTGTGTGTTATGTGTAAGTGATGGAAAGGAGAATACCTTTTGAGCGTGTGCAATGGCGCTTCTCATCTGCTACATCCACCTCCATCTGCGGAGAGCCACAAATACAATCAACGTTTTAATAAAAACTTTTATTTGTAATGTAAGCCCATATATTAATGACAGTAGAGTGTGTTTTTGTTAAAATACTTAAAGGGATAGTTCACCCAAAAATTTGCAGACTAGTTTGTTTGTTCATCAGATTTGGAGAAATGTGTCGTTACTTCACTTGCTCAGCAGTGGATGCTCTGCAGTGAATGGGTGCCATCAGAATCCAAACAGCTGATAAAAACATCACGATAATCCACAAGTAATCCACACCACTCCAGTCCATCAGTTAACATCTTGTAACTTGAAAAGCTACATGTTTGTAATAAACAAATCAATCATTAAGGCGTTTTAACATCACTTCTGGGCAAAATACATGCCCATAATCCATAATAACACAATAAAAAATAGTCCATCTCCTGTTGTCCTCTCACATCAAAATCCACCCACATATTTGTTTAGAGCTGTTTAGGACTGTTTTGGCTTGTAAACGGTGTTTTATCTGTGCAGATTTCTCTCTTAATTCAGATGAGACAACTTTTTAACTGGAGAAGGTGTTATTATGGATTATGAATTCCTTTGAAAGTAAAATTATAGATTTTGAACACGCAGCTTTTGGCTTCTCAATACGTTAACTGGTGGACTGGAGTGGTGTGGATTCCTTGTGGATTATTGTGATGTTTTTTATCAGCTGTTTGGACTCTCATTCTGACGGCACCCATTCACTGCAGAGCATCCAAATCTGATGAAGAAACAAACTCATCTACATCTTGGATTGCCTGAGGGTGAAGACGTTTCTAGCATATTTTCATTTTTGGGTGAACTGTTCCTTTAAAGTGAGATATTCATGTCCACAATTTTGCATCAGTATTTTCAGTGAATGTGCGAAACTTCCGATTCATTAGTGGCTATAGATAAATAACTATGAATAACAAAGGGTAGTAAAACTATTTGCACTAAAAACCGGAGCATTTATGATTATGACAATAAATTTGAATAATATGATAATAATATCAGTCTGCAACATCAAGAAGCAGAACAGACTATTTTTGTAATATAACTGGTAAAGTAAAGTAAAATAACTGGAATCGAATGACACTGGAAGCCTTAAATATTCAAGTTACAAATGGCTTACAAATAAAGTGGATAGCTTGATGTGTAAAATAAGTCATTGGTAAGTTGTCTTCCTGAAACATGTAACATAATGGTGCTGTAGCACAAAACATTAATTTCAAAATGTTGATTTGTTTATATCTAGATCAGCTCAAAACAAGCAACATTGACTCAACCAATGGTGTGAGTGTAAGGTGGGACTATCTGTTTGCCCAACCAATGGCAGATGAGGGGTGTGTTCAAGTCTGCTCATAGCAGAAATACACACTTGATTGTGTTTATGCATTCTATGAGATCAAGTACTGTGTAGACAGAAAGAAAGACAGATAGCGTGAAGTGGTACCTGATGTAATTGCCGGTTTAATCGCTCTTTGGTTCAGACCTCTGTTTGCCCCACGGCCCTCTATGTTAGACGACTGATAAGAGGTCACTACACCTCCTCCAATTTCATTTTCTGAAACATGAAAAAAGATAGAAACTTGTAATTATAGACATAAATGAGCATGCAAATCACATTTACACTGGGAAACATGCAGTGGCGTAGCAGTTTTAACATCTTCCCCACATACATTTCTCACTCTAAGCTTCAAGTTACCATAAATAAATGAAAAATCAATGGTAAATTTGGACTTTTCTTTAGCTCATTCTCATCCCCATTTCATATAGAATAAGATTCAGTTAATTCTGCCTTTGCCAGCTCTGCTTCAAAGAGAAATAAACCGCAGTTGAGAGGGAGGAACTGCCTTTATTTCACATTCATGCTGCTTTTCCAATCAGGATCGTTTACAGTTTTTAATAGGATTTATTTAAAGAAATACCCATTAAAAAAAGAAAGATTTTCCATACGATTCACATTTTTGATCAAAACATAAATGGAAATGATTATAGACCACATGAGGTAATGAGATCTCATTACTTCACAAATCACACGCGATTGCTGTCTTACGTTAAATTTTCCATACCAGCAGGGTTAGGCACATTAAATATAACTTCTTCATTGTGTTTGCTACAAAACACGTCGTTTGCCAGGTTGTGAAGCAGACAGTATGATATTGACAGAGGAAATATTTTGAGGGAAGATGAGGAACTCAAACAGCTCTTGTGTGTTTGGCTGTGTGAAGAGAGGAACTTGTGTGGTGAAACTGGAGCAGATACAAACAAATCTCCTGTTGTCCTCTCACATCAAAATCCACCCACATATTTGTTTAGAGCTGTTTAGGACTGTTTTGGCTTGTAAACGGTGTTTTATCTGTGCAGATTTCTCTCTTAATTCAGATGAGACAACTTTTTAACTGGAGAAGGTGTTATTATGGATTATGAATTCCTTTGAAAGTAAAATTATAGATTTTGAACACGCAGCTTTTGGCTTCTCAATACGTTAACTGGTGGACTGGAGTGGTGTGGATTCCTTGTGGATTATTGTGATGTTTTTTATCAGCTGTTTGGACTCTCATTCTGACGGCACCCATTCACTGCAGAGCATCCCAATCTGATGAAGAAACAAACTCATCTACATCTTGGATTGCCTGAGGGTGAAGACGTTTCTAGCATATTTTCATTTTTGGGTGAACTGTTCCTTTAAAGTGAGATATTCATGTCCACAATTTTGCATCAGTATTTTCAGTGAATGTGCGAAACTTCCGATTCATTAGTGGCTATAGATAAATAACTATGAATAACAAAGGGTAGTAAAACTATTTGCATTAAAAACCGGAGCATTTATGATTATGACAATAAATTTGAATAATATGATAATAATATCAGTCTGCAACATCAAGAAGCAGAACAGACTATTTTTGTAATATAACTGGTAAAGTAAAGTAAAATAACTGGAATCGAATGACACTGGAAGCCTTAAATATTCAAGTTACAAATGGCTTACAAATAAAGTGGATAGCTTGATGTGTAAAATAAGTCATTGGTAAGTTGTCTTCCTGAAACATGTAACATAATGGTGCTGTAGCACAAAACATTAATTTCAAAATGTTGATTTGTTTATATCTAGATCAGCTCAAAACAAGCAACATTGACTCAACCAATGGTGTGAGTGTAAGGTGGGACTATCTGTTTGCCCAACCAATGGCAGATGAGGGGTGTGTTCAAGTCTGCTCATAGCAGAAATACACACTTGATTGTGTTTATGCATTCTATGAGATCAAGTACTGTGTAGACAGAAAGAAAGACAGATAGCGTGAAGTGGTACCTGATGTAATTGCCGGTTTAATCGCTCTTTGGTTCAGACCTCTGTTTGCCCCACGGCCCTCTATGTTAGACGACTGATAAGAGGTCACTACACCTCCTCCAATTTCATTTTCTGAAACATGAAAAAAGATAGAAACTTGTAATTATAGACATAAATGAGCATGCAAATCACATTTACACTGGGAAGCATGCAGCGGCGTAGCAGTTTTAATATCTTCCCCACATACATTTCTTACTCTAAGCTTCAAGTTACCATAAATAAATTAAAAGAATCAATGGTAAATTTGGACTTTTCTTTAGCTCATTCTCATCCCCATTTCATATAGAATAAGATTCAGTTAATTCTGCCTTTGCCAGCTCTGCTTCAAAGAGAAATAAACCGCAGTTGAGAGGGAGGAACTGCCTTTATTTCACATTCATGCTGCTTTTCCAATCAGGATCGTTTACAGTTTTTAATAGGATTTATTTAAAGAAATAACCACTAAAAAAAAGAAAGATTTTCCATATGGTTCATATTTTTGTTCACAGCATAAATGGAAATGATTATAGACCACATGAGGTAATGAGATCTCATTACTTCACAAATCACACGCGATTGCTGTCTTACGTTAAATTTTCCATACCAGCAGGGTTAGGCACATTAAATATAACTTCTTCATTGTGTTTGCTACAAAACACGTCGTTTGCCAGGTTGTGAAGCAGACAGTATGATATTGACAGAGGAAATATTTTGAGGGAAGATGAGGAACTCAAACAGCTCTTGTGTGTTTGGCTGTGTGAAGAGAGGAACTTGTGTGGTGAAACTGGAGCAGATACAAACAAATTTGGAGCAGTGGCGTTTGATTTTTCGAGCCTCTGTTGTGGGCTGCATTCAGAGACACTAATTAAAACCAGTGAAGCGGGCGCTAACAAATGATGTGTTAGTGGTGCTGCAGTGGAGTGTGGTGGGACAATGAAGGGCCCCTCCAGGAGCCTGATAGCACGCTTAATATCAGAGCTGCAGGGCTCTTTGCCAGTGCTCCTCTGTCAAAGCCCTCTAAAAACACACACCGAAAAAATTATGCTCTTCATTGAAAAAAGCCTTTACTTTCACTTTTGATCAATTGAATGCATTCTGTGCATTGATAAAAGTATCAATTTTCTTTAAAAAAAAAACAGTCTTCTTTAAAAAAAACATACTTTTGTTTTGTAAAATGTTGTAATATAACGAAGAAATGAATGAATGAATGAATGAATGATAAATACTGTCATATTAAAAATAAAATAAACAATCATTAAAAAAACATTCATATTAATAAGCAATCATACTACATATTCATCATGATACAATCATTTTGGCCTTATAATCAATTGCAAAGACAGCCTCAGTGATCTGAGAGCACAATTTCTAAGCTAAAAAAAATGCCTTTAGGAATTCCAATTAGAATTTGAATGCACATATTAGAATGAGTTAATGAGCCAAATGTCATTTATTCCAGTGAGGTGTGGAGTCCACTAACTAATCAAGAATTTGGCTAATGGGAAAATATCTAATCGAGACTCGTGGAATGCAGAATTTGATATAAAAAAACTAGAAAACCATCAGATTCAGAATCAGGCTAATATCCATCATAAGTGATCAAAACAGTAAAATGAATGTCTTTGAATTGAAATAAATCTAAAAAGGTAAAGAAACAGAATTGCAATACTAGTGTCGATCAAAGAAACCTGCAGTGTCCTCTTAATCACAAACTTCTTAGTCTTAATGAAGAAAATAATCCGTGATGAAAACCACGGTATAAAACATGGTCACTTTATGACAACAAAGATAGTATCTTTCCATGAAGACTTCACAGCAGACCACCAACAGAAATGGGTGGGAAACATGACTACTATAAGTATGGCAAGCCGTTTTGACTTTTATTCCTTCACGGGATATGAATTCTTGATATCAACAATTCAATTTTTACTAGTTAAAATGTTAATTCTTGATATCAGGTGTAGGGATTTCTATCATATAGGGACACTACTATTATGCCCCTATCAGCCATCATGAGGTTTGCTAATCGCCCCCAGCACATAAAGACTAATCCAATCAAGAGATAACACTGAGCTCTTTTGGTATCAGGACTACAACTGAAAATACCTCGTGATCGCGAATGTATAGAAACCAGTGTAGACACAGGAAGTAAATTAACTAGTGCCCTCAGGCCTGTGAGCACGGGACCGCTGCATGACTAGCACATGACGTTTGACCACCTGCTTCCTGGCCTGTCTGAAACCCTTACAAAACTTCTCTTACAACAAAAGAAACAGAACCGTGCATGACGATTTTAACAGACAAACGTTTAAAACTCATAAGTAGTGAAAATGTATCCACTGTATGTGTTATGCCGTATCTATATATTTGATGTGTTTATCGAAACCATGATATCTCAATCTTGGCCTTATAACTTTTCTTTTAGTGATTACGATTACTGTGTATGCAAAATACCTGTTGTTTGAGCTCGAATGAGAGCTTGTCTTATTCGCCGAACATTGGTGTTAGTGAAAAGTTTATATTTTGTATCATTCTCTGGTGATAATACTTTTATCAGCATTTTAGGTATCAGAAATTACCCTCCCAATTGTTGATATCAGAAATACATGTTCAGATATCAGAAATGAACATTGTCACTAGTGACAATTCAATTGTTGATATCAAGAATAGACGTCTGTACTAGTAACCATGTGATTACTGATATAAAAAATTAAGGTTTTTACTAGTAAGAATTTTATTTTTGATATGTGAAATTGGAATTTCAACTAGTAAGAAATCAATTCTTG